GTCTCTCGCGCAGTCGACGGTGACGCCCTTGCGCAGCGTCTGGCCCTGCGACAGCGTGGAGGTCAGGTAGGACGCGTGCGTCAGGGTGAACCCCGAGCGGCGCACGCTGTGCGCCCCCGAGCTCTGCCATGTGAACTCCCTTTCGCTGGGCCTGAACATCAGCAAGCTCCGCGCCCGCGCCTCGGCCTGGCCGTCGTCGTCGGCGCCTTCGGCGCCCTGTCGCAGCACCTCGGCGACCTCCTGGTAGATCGGAGACTCCTTGAAGCCGTGCACCCGCAGCCAGATTCCCTGCGGTAGGAAGCGGGGGCGAAAAAGCTGGCCTGCCGAGCACTCCTCGTAGCGCTGCTCGTCCTCGTGGTGGAACTCGGAGGACACGATGGTGGCCCGCTGCTCCTGCGCGAGCCCCAACTTCTTCTTCAGCTCCTCCTGCGCTGCCGTGAACCGCACCTCCATGCCGACGTGGGCCGGCAAAACGCCGTGGATGTCCCCCGTCTTGTGCATGTTCGGGACGTTCAGGAGGCGCCGACCCGCGTCGGGCTCGCCCTGAATCGCGCCGCACTCGTCAACGGCCTGCAGGAAAACAAGGGGCACGCCCAGACGCCGAGCGTCGCGACGAGCGCGCGTGTTGATCCACCTCGCCAGCGTCTCCCAGTATATGCCCATGCCGTAGCCGAGCCGAAAGTTCTCGTGCTGGTGCCGAGGGTCCAGGACGCCCTGGTTGTCCGTGGCCAACGTCTTCTCCCAGGCGGACCAGACCTCAGGTGGGAAGGGCTTGCCCTCGCGCATGCAGCCCAGGAACGTGATCAGAGGGTCCCCGGGCTCGAAGCGCTTCGTGCCCTTCAGCTCGAAGACGCAGGGGATCTGAGAGAAAACCTTGATGGCGTGCTGGATCTCCACCGTCGGCGGGTCCGCGTACCTGTACGACTCGTCGTCGTCCAGGCGCTCGTTCACGTCCGTCAGGAGGCCAATGCTGCCGGTGGGCTTCAGCTGCGGGAAATCGCCGAGTTGCAACACGATGGGCACGCGCCCGAAGTGGTGGCGTGGCCGCTGGTAGTTCGACTCCTGCACGTCGTGCGTGTCACTGCGTCCGTGGCAGGCGCGAAGGTCCAGCGCGTTGTACAGCGCGGCTGCCACCATGCTTATCTCCTCCTTGTTGCGTCCAAAATGTGGCCTGGGAACTGCGTTCTGGCAGCGCGAGAACCCAAAATTGACGACAGTTACAGGTTTTGGATGACCCGCTCGGATTACCAACGTGATCTGCGGGCCCCATAGGGAGGGGGCTCCCGCCTGAGACTTCCTCACAATTCACTCACAGACGAGGCTCCCGCCTGAGACTTCCTCCAAATTCAGGCTTGACGAGCCCAAAAGTGACGACAGTTACAGGGTTCCGATGACCCGCTCGGATTACCAACATGATCTGCGGGCCCCATAGGGAGGGGGCTCCCGCCTGAGCCTTCCTCACAATTCACTCAGAGACGAGGCTCCCGCCTTAGACTTCCTCCAAATTCCGGCTTGACGAGCCCAAAAGTGACGACAGTTACAGGGTTCCGATGACCCGCTCGGATTACCAACGTGATCTGCGGGCCCCATAGGGAGAGGGCTCCCGCCTGAGCCTTCCTCTGAATTCACTCACAGACGAGGCTCCCGCCTTAGACTTCCTCCAAATTCAGGCTTGAGGAGCCCAAAAATGACGACAGTTACAGGGTTCCGATGACCCGCTCGGATTACCAACATGATCCGCGGGCCCCATAGGGAGGGAGGTCCCGCCTGAGACTTCCTCCCAATTCACTCACAGACGAGGCTCCCGCCTGAGACTTCCTCCATTTTCAAGCCTGGGGAGCCCAAACGTGACGACAGTTACAGGGTTCCGATGACCCGCTCGGATTACCAACATGATCTGCGGGCCCCATAGGGAGGGGGCTCCCGCCTGAGACTTCCTCACAATTTACTCAACGATGATGAGGATGAGGATGATGAGTGGTGGTGAAGATGAGTGGTGAAGAGGATGATGATTGATTGTGAGTGGTGGTGGCGATGATGATGTTTGAATGAGGATGATGCCGATGCCGATGATGATGATGATGATGATGATGATGATGATGATGATGATGATGTTCGTGAGCGTGTGAGAGAGTGCGAGTGATGATGATGATGAGTATGTGAGTGACTAAGCATGTGAGAGAGCATCATCGATGATGCTGATGAGGTTGATGATGAGAGAGTGCGAGTGAGTGTGAGTGGGTGTGTGTGTGTTCCTGTTCCTGCGCGGGGTGTCCAGAGAAAACAAGAACCCCACTTTGGATGTGGGGAATAAAGGAAGAGGAAGAAAACGGAAGGAAGGAATGAAGGAAGGAAGAGGGAAGAGGACGAGGGACAGAGGAGCGAAGATGAAAGGAAGGGGAAGCAAAGGATGCGGGGGAAGGGGGATGGAAAAAGGACGAGGAGTTGGAGGGTCAAGGGAATAGGGCGCGAGAGGGGAGGCAGCCGAGCCGCCTGCTGCACGCCTTCCTGGTCGACCAACCCGGCCGCCCCGTGCGATGCCACGGCAGGGGCCTGTGCGCGCGCGCTCCCCATCGCACCTCTTTGCCCACGCCTCCCCCGTTTCCTACCCCGTCCTCCTCCTGCTCCTCCCCCCTCCTCCTCGTCGTTCCCGCACCTCCTCCTCCTCCCTCGACCTCCTTTTCCTCCTCCAGTATCCTCCTCAACCTCCTCCTCCTCCTGCACGCTCTTCCGCCGCAAGGCCGCTAGGCCGCTAGGCCAGTAGGGTACGAGCCCCCCCAGCAAGGAACAAGGAGAGCGAGAGGAGCACGGGAGGGAAGGGGGTAAACTGTGTCAGTACCTGGCCGGACTAGAACCGTGAGGCCCCGCAAGGATTGTCCCGGCTCGATGTCACCAGGTCTTCGAGCTGTAGTTGTTGCCGGTGGCCTGGCCGCCGTAGCTCGTGTTGGCGTAGGCGGTGGTGGTGGTCCAGCCGCGGACCTGGTCCGTAGTCTGTTGGCTTCGCGGAGGCCAGGTCGCGCCAGCATCGGCACTCGTCGAAAAATGGTTTGGGCGGCGTCTCAAGCCAAAAGCGGGACCCCCCGCGTCTGCGGGCCTGGCTCCAGGCTGGCCGGCCGCGCCGCCATCCTCAGGTTTCACGCGAGGTCATGAGGCAGCTGTTGCCTGGCCGCAATCACGCCTCGCATCCTGCGGGCGCAGTGGAAATGCGCTACTGGTGCTCGTCGTAGGACATGCGGTCCGCCTCGTAGACGGCCTCGACGCTGCGGATCCGCAGCTGGAGACATTTGTCCCACTTGTCCTGGCAGGTGGCTGCGATCTCTCTCTGATTCTCGCGGCCCCGCATCGCTCCGTGGATCGCGTGGCAGGAGCTCTTCTGGTGGCCGCCGTAGCTCAGCTCGTTGCCCTAGCAGCTGAGGAGGTGGCCCCAAGAGCTCTGGTGATGGCCCTCGCGGCTCTGAGGATGGACCTCGTAGCCCGGCTGGTGGCCGAAGTACATCAGCTCGTGGTCCTCGTAGGTTCAGCTGGTGGCCCCGGTAGGTCAGCAGGTGGTCCTCGTAGTTCGGACCACAGCGGTTGGCCCTGGTAGCCCCATCTTTGGCCGAAGAAGCCCAGCTGTTTGCCCTCGTAGCTCGGCTGGTGGCCCAAATAGCTCAGCTCGTGGCCCTCGTGCCTCAGCTGGTGGCCCTGGTGGCTCAGCCCATGGTCCTCGTGGTCCCGCGTGTGACTCTCGTAGCTGCGCTTGGGGCTGGGGCGAGCGAAGCCCGGCGCCGGTAGGCCGGGCGTCGGCAGGCCGGACGGTGGGGCGGCGAATCTGGTGCACGAATGCTCCTCTTCCAAGACCGCTGCTGCCTCATCCTCTTCCTCCTCCTCCTCCTCCTACTCCTCCTCGTTCTCCTCCTCCATCCCTCCTCCACCCTCCTCCTCCTCCTCCTCCTCCTCCTCCTCCTCCTCCTCCTCCTCCTCCTCCTCCTCCTCCTCCATCTCCTCCTCATCCTCCTCCATCCCTCCTCCACTCCTCCTCCATCGCTCCTCCATCGCTCCTCCTCCCCCTCCTCCTCCTCATCACCACCACCACACCACCACCACCACCACCATCATCATCATCATCATCATCATCATCATCATCATCATCATCATCATCATCACCATCATCATCATCATCAGCATCAGCAGCATCATCATCATCAGCATCATCATCAGCATCATCATCATCATCATCATCATCATCATCATCATCATCATCATCATCATCATCATCATCATCATCATCATCATCATCATCATCATCATCATCATCATCATCATCATCCGCATCATCATCATCATCATCATCAGCATCATCATCATCATCCATCGCTCCTCCTTCTCCATCGCTCCTCCTCCACCTCCTCGACCTCCTCCTCCTCCTCCTGCTCCTCCTCTTCCTCCTCCACCCCTCCTCCTCCATCGCTCCTCCTCTTCCTCCTCCTCCTCTTCCTCCTCCTCCTCCTCCTCCTCCATCGCTCCTCCTCCATCGCTCCTCCTCCCTCCTCCTCCCTCCTCCTCCTCCTCCTCCTCCTCCTCCATCGCTCCTCCTCCTCCTTCTCCTCTGACATCCTCCTCTGTTCCTCCCCCTCTTCTTCGTTGCCTTGTGGAGCGCCTTCTTATGCCTGTGGCGCACATTCTTCTCCCTGTGACGCAGCCCCTTCTTCTCCAGCGCCTTTCTCTTTGGGGCGTTGCGGGACTTCTTCTCCAGCGCCTTCCTCTTCGGGGCGCGCTCTTGCACCTGTCACAGAGCCCCACACCCAGTGCAAGAGCAGAAAGAGCGGGACGGAAGGAGGGAAGGGAGGAGAGAGGAAGGAAGAATTGCCCTGCGAGTCTTCAATGTGTTTGATTGTCGCTGGTAGCTTTCTGGCGCTGCCGGTAACATGTTGGAATGGTGCTCGGAGTTGTCTGCCCACATACCAAGTGGGGTTCTGGAGTTCTCTGGACACCCTGCGCAAGAGGGGAGAGGGAGAAAGAGAGAGAGAGAGAGACAACAAAAAGAGATGGAACAACAAAACGAACCTCACTTCCTCTCTCTTCTTCTGCCTGCATTCCTCACCACCGTTCTCCCCCCCCACACACACACACTCACACACACACACTCGCATCATCATCATCATCATCATCATCATCATCATCATCATCATCATCATCATCATCATCATCATCATCATCATCATCATCATCATCATCATCGTCAGCAGCAGCAGCAGCAGCAGCAGCAGTATCATCGGCATAATCAGCATCAGCATAATGATCAGCAACATCACCATCATCATCGCCATCATCCTCATATCAAAATCATCACATATCTACCACCACCCTCATCCTCATCCTCATCATCAGCAGCAACAGCAGCACCATCACCATCACCCTCACCATCAAAACAAACACCATCACCACCGCAATAATCATAATCGTAATCCCCATCCTCGTTCTCATCATCATCGTCATCATCATCATTATCATCATCATCATCGTCATCATCATCATCATCATCACCATCATCATCATCATCATCGTCGTCGACGTCATCATCATCATCACACATCTGAATCATCACGATCATATTCTTCGTCATCGTGGTCGTCGTCGTCATCATCGTCATCGTCGTTTATCAAACACTCAACTAGCATCCCCGTGACCACGATCACAATTACTAGCACGTTATCACGATCACACGCTCACGAACTCCTTGATATCATCATCTTCAGCATCATCATCATCACACCTATCATCAGTTTCGTCATCAGCATCGTCATCGTGATCACAATCCCCCTCCTCATCTTCGTCCCCATCATCATCCTCACCCTCCTCCTCCGCCTCGTCCTCCTTCTCCTCCTCCTCCTCATCATCACCACCATCACCACCGTCATCATCACCAGTACCCCCGCCTCGCACACTCACACACACTTACGCATTCACGCGCTCACGCATGTATACACTCGAGTTGAGGAAATTACGGGGGGGGGGCTCGACCGTGATTGAAATGCGAGGACGTCTCAAGCGGGAGCCCCCTCCCTATGGGGCCCGCGCTTCATTGTTTAATCATGGGCGGTCAACCAAAATCCTGTAACGCTCGTCATGTCTGGATCATGGCGCCGCAAGTACTCCACACCCAGTGCTGATTTCGAATGCATGGAGATGACTGAAAGCCACTTTGTGCGTTTTGAGCTCCCTGAGTCCACTCCCAGGCCTGATTTTGCATGTCCGTAGCCAACAGTAAACCTATTCGGGCTCCTCGTGCTCCCAGAACTCCACTCCTGGGAGTGATCCTGCACGCGCAGGGCCGGCTTAACCACTTCGGGCCCTGCGTGCCCCCAGGGCTCCACTCCTGAGACTGATTTTGGATGGTCGGGGCCACCCGTAAGGCACTACGAACTTTTCGTGCTCCCAGGGCCTGGCTCCATTTTGCGCTCGCACCCTGACATCTTGTCATCCTGGCAACCCGGTGTCCTGGCATCGCTGGCATCTTTGGGATCCAGGGCAGCTTGGCATCCCTAGCATCCAAGCACAAACCACACATGTCTGACACAATCTCTGAAAGTCATGGGGATCGGGGCGGCCGGCCGGGTGATCCAACGCAGCGAGTTCCAAGGCGCCCCTCACTCATACGCCCGTGCACTTCCTCACACACTTCCATACCCCACACACGTGCGCACACATGCGCAGCCACTCACACACACACACACACGCAAACACACGCAAACACACACACACACATTGGTAGTCGCGGCCTTGCGCGGAGCGTCGAGGCGGAGAACGTCACCGACGGGTGGGCGCGCGCGGGGGGGCACACACGCACACTCACACGTTTTTGCGTCGGCGGCTCAGCAAAGTGACTGCGCTGGCGGAAAAGGCATATGTAGGGCATACAAATGCGAATTGAGCCGCGATGCGCGTGGGGGGGGGGGAAGGAGGAAGGCCCGGCCGGGCTGGCTAGCGTGGAGAGGAGGCCGGGCTCGCTCAGAGCGGGGCCGGGCGGCGGCGGGGGGGCGCCTGGGCCGGGGGCCAGCAGCAGCAGCGGGGCAGCAGCTGGGAGGGTAGCAGCCAAGGTGGCCGCCAGGGCAAGCGCCCAGAGGGGGGAGCGACAGGTCCAGCGCGAGCTGGAGGCGGAAGCAGCACAGCCAGGTAGCCAGGGGTGCCGAGGTCAGGGTGACCGACGAGGCAACCTTGGGAAGACCGATGGGAGCGAAGGCAGCGGGCAGCGGGAGCCCAGGGTGCCGAGGTCACATGTGACCTACGAGGCGCCCAGGGAGCGCGACAAGGGCGAGACCACCCCCAAGCCGGCGGGGTAGCGACGGGCAACGGTGCACCAGCCAGTGAGCGGCGGGCGAGACACGAGAAGCAAGGTCGCGACTGCCACTGAGGCAACATGAGACCGCCCGGCCATGACGGCAGGGGCGGGGGGGGCGGCCAAGGCGGAGACGTGCCGGGCGCCGAGGTCAAGCGTGACCTACGAGACAGCCTGGGACG